AAAAAAACTACCAGAAATCCCACTTTCCCCAGAGGAATACTCCAAAATTCAGAGGAAAAACATGCTCCAAAAGGATTAAGTTTAAGAATTGCTGGTGACAAGTTAATAAAAACGCATACCCATGTCAAAAATTTGATCAATTTGCTTAAGGGTTCATGAACTGAATGAAGAACATGCAAGAAAGTGGCAAAATTGCACCAAATATGTTGCGAATGGGGTAGTTGGGAGGTGTAGGGACCGCCCACTCAGAACTGATCTTTCCGCCTCTGCGACATCCAGAGATCCCATATAGACAAAATGTGATGACTGACCGCTCCATAAAAACGTTCCACCTTTTACTGCGCCCGCCTACGACATTGTCTTCCCTTTTCGATTCCCCCTTCTATTTCTCTCTCCATTTTTTTGAGATTTCGATCCAGCCGAGTTGATTTCTTACTATTTCTACCTCCATTTTTTTCTCTTTCTGCTTTGGTTTCTTTAGTTGATTGATCTCGTTCTCTGCTCGCGGATTTTTCACATCCATCACATCCATGGGTACTCTTCTTCCAGTCAAATCGATCTTTGCTCCCTCTCTCTTTCTGGGTTTCTGTTGTTTGCATGTTTGGGGCTACTTTGGGTGTTCTTTTAAATTGTCTGATGTTCGATTTGTTGGTTTTTTTACAGCGACAGAAAATCCTTTCAATAGCATCTTGAAGACGCTTGAGAATCCCGAAGGGGGTGCGTTTGGAAAGTACTACAGCTTGCCTGCTTTGAACGATCCTAGAATCGGTGAGTGGTCCTGCCTTTTTTTTTCCCTTCTCTTTTTTACTGTTTGCTTGATTCCTGTGAAATACTAAGGAAAAAGGAAACCTGGAGTGTGTTTGTTCTTGTGACTTTTCCCTTTCGAATCATTCATGAACAGACGCTTTTTCTTTCCACAAGCCCATTTTCATGAGATTCGTTGATAGCTTTATTTGATTCTCACTGCTTCCGAGCTAAAAACATGGTTGGTTTGAGTGGTCTGAGTTGAAACTGCTGAAACGTTATAATGGGTTGGATTTTGATTGTTGGCTGGGTGTTTCTTTGGCAGAAAGGCTGCCATACTCCATCCGGATACTTCTCGAATCGGCCATTCGAAACTGCGATGAGTTCGCCGTTAAGGCGAAGGATGTCGAGAAGATTCTGGATTGGGAGAACACCTCTCCCAAACAGGTTGAAATTCCATTCAAACCTGCTAGAGTGCTGCTTCAGGTCAGCATTTTAACTCTCCAATCTTGTTTCTGGAAAGTTGCTTATGGAATTGTGATGTCATTTTAATGTGAAGAAAAATATGTCTTTCAGGATTTTACTGGTGTGCCTGCTGTCGTTGATCTTGCTTGCATGCGAGATGCAATGAACAGGCTTGGTGGTGATTCCAATAAGATCAATCCATTGGTGAGCAGTAAGCTGAATTACTTCTATTTTTTTATTTTTCTATCATTTGTAATTATATCTGATATATGAATAATTGAACACAGGTTCCAGTAGATCTTGTCATTGACCACTCAGTTCAGGTTGATGTGGCAAAGACAGAAAATGCAGTGCAGGCAAATATGGAGCTTGAATTTCGACGAAACAAAGAAAGGTTTGGTTTTCTGAAATGGGGATCCAGTGCTTTCCATAACATGCTTGTTGTACCTCCAGGATCCGGTATAGTTCACCAGGTAAACTCATTCATTCGATTTTCCATGTCCTGAATGACTTCGGCACTCGGATAGTCTTGTCAGCTTAAAAGAAAAATATTTTTTGAGCCATTATGTTTAGAACTAATCTTCTATTGTTTTTCAGGTTAATCTCGAATATCTAGGGAGAGTTGTATTCAACACAAATGGCTTGCTTTACCCTGATAGTGTTGTTGGAACCGATTCTCACACAACGATGATCGATGGATTGGGTGTTGCAGGTTGGGGTGTTGGTGGGATAGAAGCAGAAGCCGCAATGCTTGGACAGGTAGAGAGTACTTTGGAATTTGTATTTTCTTGAGAGAACTGAGGATTCAGTTTTACCCAAATAAATGGATATAAATTTGCTGTTCTTATATATTATTTGATTTTCCAATTCCTCTTTGGAACAATGATATCTAGTAATCATACATTTGGGGCATTAATGGTATTCCAATCTTGTTATATTCTTCAAGAAATGGTTGACTTTTCTCTTCTTAAAAAATGGTTTACTTTATTCTCGTTTCTTTTTTCCTTCGATTTCAGCCCATGAGCATGGTCTTGCCTGGTGTAGTTGGCTTCAAATTAGTTGGAAAGCTGAGAAATGGTGTGACAGCCACAGACTTGGTTTTGACTGTTACTCAAATGCTTAGAAAGCATGGTGTTGTTGGCAAGTTTGTGGAGTTTTATGGTAAGCATAATATAACTTCTCAAGCATGTAACTAGTACTGGAAATGACAAATACTTAATAGAAGTACTGTAAAATGGTGATTATAAGAGAAAGATGGGATTATTATGCGGTTATTACTTGCTATCTAAAATGGTGATTATAAATGGCATTTCGGGCTGTCTTCCTAAGAAAGTCGATGAGTGGTTGATTGAAATTGTTCGCGGTGGCACCCTAAGAGGGAAAGCGAGGGTCCTTTGGAGTTGTGCTGGGAGAGCTTGTTTTTGGAGTATATGGAATGAAAGAAACCAAAGAGTCTTCAACAATGCCTCTCAACCTTTTGATATTTTTTTTGAAAGTGTACAAATTACTACGGCATCTTGGTGTCGTACTTATAGGAGATTCTTTTGTAATTATAGTCTAGCTTCTCTTTCTCGGGATTGGCAAGCTGTAATGTGGTAGTTTTTTGGGGAGGGCCTCCTCGGCCCTTGCCCATAGGTTGTTTCTCCTTTTTTTGAGTTCTAATATATTTCCCCTGTTTCTTATAAAAAAAAAAAATTACTTGCTATCTAAAATTCCTCTGCCATCAGTCCTCTCATGTGTTGAACTACTGAAGAATGGAAAGGGAGAATAGGAATCGACTTCTTTTTCCCATTTGACTTTGCCACCAACAGATGGAGACTAGGAAAAATCAAACAGGAGATTATTATTCTAATTTTGCATATGTATAACATCCGAATTTTTAATAACAATTTCAATTGTTATGCCACTCATTATTTTATAATACCACTTTGCTTCTTCTATGCAGGGGAAGGTATGAGTGAACTGTCTTTAGCCGACCGTGCCACAATTGCCAACATGTCCCCCGAGTACGGTGCAACGATGGGATTCTTTCCTGTGGATCACGTCACCCTGCAGTATCTAAAACTCACCGGACGAAAAGATGAAACAGTTAGTAATCTTCGTAATTACATTCTGCTAGCATAGTTCACGTTGCTTTTATTCGAGTGCTAACTTGAAAACTACCATTTTAGATTTCTATGATAGAATCCTATCTCCGGGCTAACAAGATGTTTGTGGACTACAGTGAGGTAATTATAAACTACCCATTTTCTTTATCTCATTGTCATTTTTACATGGACATTTTTAAAAAACTTTACCAGAAATCATATGGCTCTATCTCTCTCTCTGAGTTCCTTTTTTCTGGTTGTAAGAATCATTGAATCATTAAATCACTCAATATTTTGAACTGTTTTGGGTCTGAGTTGGATTTCAATGAATGCAGCCTCAAGTTGAAAGAGTGTACTCCTCTCGTATAGAACTCAATCTTTTGGATGTTGAACCTTGCATATCAGGTCCAAAAAGGTAGCTGAAGTTATTTTAGAACTATCCTAGTATATTTCAATATTGATCGCATTTTTTAACCTTACATTCTTGAACCAAAATTTTCAGGCCACACGATCGAGTTCCCTTAAAAGAAATGAAAGCTGATTGGCATGCATGCCTGGACAATAGAGTTGGATTCAAGGTGAAGGACATTTAGACCTTTGCACAGTAATTTTGAAATAAATTACAAGTATCCTTAATTCTTTTGGACACTATATAAAGTTAAAGCTATTTTAATGGGCAAAAATGAGTGCTCTTGAAGTTCTCAACTAGAAATTTTTTCTGACTGCACACTTTTAAATCCGTCACCCCTCTATTTCACTCTTCTTATTATTCTTCTATAATGATGTGTTATAGGGTTTTGCGATATCGAAGGAAGCTCAAGCAAAGGTTGCAGAGTTCAGTTTTCATGGATCCCCAGCCCAGCTTAGGCATGGGGATGTTGTTATTGCAGCTATCACTAGCTGCACAAATACCTCAAATCCAAGTGTTATGCTTGGAGCTGCTTTGGTGGCTAAGAAAGCTTGTGAGTTTGGGCTAGAGGTTAGATGTCTATCATCACCCACTATTAATATGACACCTCTCTCTCTCTCACTATTAAATTTTGATAATAAGACTTATAAATTTATTTGAAATTCTAATAAGAAAATACAACAAGATACTACTAAGTTACTCAAGGTATCTAGTCTAGTCCTATCAAATTCATAGTAACTGGTTCAAGAGTGCAATATCGATTTTGATTCCGTTGAGACTTTCTATGTCAGGTTAAGCCCTGGATTAAGACAAGTCTTGCTCCAGGCTCTGGGGTTGTGACTAAATATTTGGAGAAGAGGTATTTTTTTGACACTATAATAAATGGGCTCTTTTTTTAAGAGAGAGATCCTCATGTTTTGTTCTGTATGGATTGTGACATATGCAGTGGCTTGCAAAAGTATCTTAATCAGCTAGGATTCAATATTGTTGGGTATGGATGCACTACATGCATTGGAAATTCAGGAGACATCGACGAAGCAGTTGCTTCGGCAATAACTGAAAATGGTAACTATTTGCATTAGGTGGACCGGATGCTATTTTCAGGTATATGTAATAACTGTGTTGTTAATGATATTTGAACATCCAGACATAGTTGCAGCGGCTGTCCTGTCTGGAAATAGAAATTTCGAGGGTCGTGTGCACCCGTTGACAAGGGCTAATTACCTTGCTTCTCCACCCCTTGTGGTTGCCTATGCTCTTGCTGGCACAGTAAGATTGAAAAAATCTCTTCAACTCAAAAACCAGTTCCATTTCATATAAATGAAATATGAATGTAACCACGAAGTGCATAACTCATGGTTACATTTATTTACTTCGACGTCTTACTGATTACTCGTCAAGTTCCTAACTCGGAGACTATTTTGCAGGTGGATATCGATTTTGAAGCCGAACCCATTGGGCTGGGAAAGGATGGAAAGAAAATATTTTTCAGGGACATTTGGCCAACTACCGAGGAAGTTGCAAATGTAAGCTCCTTGAATCTTGAAGTCATTTTTAGCAGTTGAGTTATTGGATGGGTTATATTTGGAACTTATTCATTTCTCCATTAGGTTGTACAATCAAGTGTGCTGCCTGACATGTTTAGGGCCACATACCAAGCAATCACTGAAGGAAATGCAACTTGGAATCTGTTATCCGTTCCAGAAGGAAAGCTCTACTCCTGGGACCCGAAGTCGACATACATTCACGAGCCTCCCTATTTCAAAGATATGAGCATGTCTCCTCCGGGGCCTCATGGCGTAAAAGACGCGTACTGCTTGCTCAATTTTGGCGATAGCATTACAACAGATCACATCTCACCTGCTGGTAGCATTCATAAAGATAGCCCTGCTGCTAAGTACCTTACCGAACGCGGGGTCGACAGAAGAGATTTCAACTCTTATGGCAGTCGGCGTGGGAACGATGAGATAATGGCGCGTGGCACTTTTGCCAACATTCGCCTGGTCAATAAACTATTGAAGGGGGAAGTTGGACCCAAGACAATACACATCCCCAGTGGGGAAAAACTCTCTGTATTTGATGCTGCAATGGTAGGTTCTTAATCATTCTTTACCATAACCAATACTTTTGAGATCGCCTGGCTCAGATTCTCCATTCTTGTACTGAGATCATATGTCTGTTTACAGAGGTACAAAAGCGAGGGGCATGATACAATCATTCTCGCTGGTGCCGAGTATGGGAGCGGAAGTTCACGTGATTGGGCTGCCAAGGGTCCAATGCTTCTGGTTTGTACTTTTATGATTTATTAATAGCTAAATTCTACAACAGTTATTGGCTTAGAGACTCAAGACCCCCCTTTGTGATTGTTAAATACTTTTCCAATATCGCTTCCAGGGTGTTAAAGCAGTTATAGCAAAGAGCTTTGAGCGTATACATCGCAGCAACTTGGTCGGTATGGGCATTGTTCCTCTATGTTTCAAGGCTGGGGAGGATGCCGAGTCTCTCGGGTTGACTGGGCACGAGCGTTACACCATCGATCTTCCAAGCAATGTGGGTGAAATCAGACCTGGTCAGGATGTGGCTGTGGTGACAGACACCGGGAAGTCGTTCCGTTGCGTTCTAAGATTCGACACAGAGGTACTTGCCCAACCATAGTCCCCATGTCTCGAATCCAAACATCAACGACTCCCAAAAACCAGGTCGAAGTTTCCATTTTCTCGCAATCTAAACTCGTCCGCTTTGATGTGCAGGTGGAACTGGCATACTTCGATCATGGCGGAATTCTGCAATATGTGATTAGGAATTTGATCGACGCAAAGCACTAAGCAGCAGAGGGGGGAGTTAATTCTTTAACTTCTTCCATGCCAATATTTTTCATCGTGAGAAAAATAGTAGATGTGGGTTCAGCTTGGAGCACTGAACTTCTGAATAAAATGGGGCAATTAAATGGCAATTACATACGTTGATGATAGTTTAACAAAGTTTGTTCTTTCAGAGAATTGTTTGGAATTTTCAAGTTCTTCATTTCAATGATTGATGAAATAATTTGATCAAGTTTTATGGAATAGATGGACGAAGAGCAGATATTTAGTATATTTCTCGCTCAGCTTTGATAAGTGTTTTGTGTTTTTAAAATACACACTTTTCTCACCATCACTTCTGAAAGAAGTACTTTAAAAGTATTTTACAAATCCTTGAGAACTTTTTCAAGATCTTCAAAAATCATTCTCAAATATACTATTTTGTAGGCTTATTAATGTAAAACCATGACATATGGTTGCGATTAATCTTCTATAATTCATTCTTATAAATACTTCAATTTTCTATGTGTTCGATTGTTGGTATCCACAATCAATTCATTTATTCTTATTACTTGAAGGCTCGATCGATGTGCATGGGGTACATTCTCGCAGGAATCGGGGTAGGGATTCCCTGCAGGAAATTTGGTGTGCATATATATATATTAAAAGAAGTAAGCAGGGTAGGGAGCGGGGACATGGAATGTATTTCTCATTCTCGTCTTGGTGGGATAAAACTTTCCCCATCTCTACCCCATGGAAAATCTAAGTGGAGATTCTCTACCTAATTATCTCTACTCGATAGTGTTCTAATCAAGTAAAAGAGCCGAGGCTGAAGAATGATAATGATTTATAAATATTTTGTGGATTGGAAACTAAAGTTGAAAAATAATTTTTGCTTATTAAACTAGAAATAGACGAAAAAAATACGGGACAACTATTTTTTTTCTTTGCATTGACTCGCTTTTAAATTGTTTTTCCTATGATCCACTCGATTGAAACTTTGTAAATTGATTCTTAAACACAATTCCACATAACAAATTACCAAATGGTCCCCTAGTGACATTGAATTAACTAATATTAATTATCATTAAAGACACATAATTACCTGAATATAAATTAAACCACAGTTGAGTTTTATAATTTTCTGTAAAAAATTAATTATTGTGTAACCAGACACCTCAAACTTCAGAGAACTCCAGATTACAATATAACAAAAATTAAACAAAGAAACAGTGAGACTTTCCATCTCATCAGTTCCTTAAACGTGAAGAACAAAATGGAGATTTGATTAGATATAAATAAATAAATAAAACACTGATCTAAAATTGAGTTAAAAGTGGAGGTAAAAAAAATATATATTTGAAATAGAGATGAACACAGAAAATGAAAATAAAAGGGTTTCCTATCAAATAGAATAACATAGCAAGGGAGTTGTACATCAAGAGTGAAACCTTTGGTTTTTTACATATCATATGAATCTATAACTGAGGTTTGGAGCTGGAAATTCTGCCAAAAAATATGAACTCTTATTCTCTCGAGGGGCCATAAACAAGAAATCAATGACAACGTAAGCTCGTAAGTAAAATATTAAGCGCATCAAAATTCATAGATTTAGGGATCGAGTACTCGCACACAAGGTTAAATTATAGAAATGACGATTCCCTGCAGCAAATGCATATGTGACTTTGAGCAGTAACAAGAAAAGTCAACCAAACCTGCCAAACAACGAAGCATCAAATCTTTAGTGATTAAAAGCATCAAAAGATTTTTCAAAAAATTCAAGACTATTCCTATTTCACAGCTTTTAGATGTATTCGTTGACCTAAGCTGCACTATTACTGTGGAGGTGGACCAAGGAAATGAGGGTGAAGATCCTCGAGAGCACGGCAGGGGATGAGGGAAGGAAGGAATTATAATAATTGGAAGTACATAACTAGACTCCAATCAAATTGTCTCATGCTTAAAGTGAGTGATTGAGCAATTCGGGCAAATTTCAGTTATTTCGTTTGATGGCAATTCTAGCTCAAGGTTCGGCGAATGGAAATTACCTTTGTTGCATAAACTCAAGCTTTGTATTCGTTTACTCGCATCCATTTAGTAGCAGACCACTTATTCCCCTTGATAACAGGACAACCACCTATAAATGAACAGGAGAAGGAATGGCGTCATCTTATCAAGAAAATCCAATACTTCCCATCATATAAACAAGCATCACTGAAACCTATCATGCTCTGTAAAATGAATGGTAAATTATAAGTTAAGAGTATCTAACCATGCAAACTTGATGGATCTAGAGAAGCATCAGGCTTCATGCTCCAGAAAAGTAACGCATCACCCATTTTCGGTTTAACAGAAAGTCCTTTCTTCCCACATTCTGAAAGCTCGTTCCACCAAGGTACAGAACTGATATTCCCTTTGGCGGCAGGGAACACTGTCTCGCCTCCTTCTTCAACTTCTGAGCTGAATTATGATTGAAGTCATATAAAATAATGGAGGACCAATGCATGATAAAACAGCACTTGTTTGTAAACCAAAGCATAATGAAGAACAATAAGGAATACTGCTTACAGATACATAAGCACCGTTGCTATACGTTGACCTCCATTTTTTGTATTGAAGTCATCAAGGAAATAATCAAAATGAGGTTCGTATTTCTGTCCCACTTCATAATGAAGAACCTGAAGTCCTTCTCCATGCTCTGCATATTTAATGTGTGAGCTTCAGTAAGAAGATATGAAAGGGATGTATAACATTAAAATCCAAAACATAACAAGACGATAGCTACTTATGATAAAGAAATATTGGCACATATGATCAGGTGAACGCTGTTCTCTTTCATTCTTAAAAGGGACAATGGGTGGGTAAGCTCATAAGACCATATCGGGACCATTTTTGTGTTCCTACATTTGAGGGGGTGTTCGTTTTTCAACTTTTCAACAATGATTAAAAATCTTCCCCGTCCATGTGAAACTTAGCACAGTAATTGTGTCTATTCGAATGGTCTTGGGCATAACTGTAAAGATTTTTCTTAACAAAAGGAAATTTATAATTGACAATGTTAGACTATAGGGAAAAAAAATTCTGCAATGATACGTGCACTCAGAAATAAATTACAAAATTACCAAAATTTTATTTTAACCTTGCAAGATGAGAATTAATTATTGTCCTAGCGGGAGGAAATCATCAAGAGGGAAAGAGGCTCAAAAAATGTACCCATGGGAATGAAGGAGAAATCAGCAATCCTTTTCTCAATGTTTCTTATAGTCTTATCACGTCCTCTAGGCAAAAATGTTCCGGAGCTGGTGCGAACTCTGAAAGAAAGGTCACAGAGGTTTCCACATTAGAGATCCAGCATTACTAACAATAGAGAAGTCTGGGGAAGAGAATAGAACACCTGCTATCTTTGCTCTTTCCAGTTTCACTGTCAACAACGGTAGACTTCTGCATGTTAGGCTTTGCAAGGCTGACTAGGTACTCACATTCCTCCTTAGTCTGAGAAATTAAAAAGTTAACCAATTCAGTAATTCACTACTTCGGAATTAATAAACAGGCCTCAGTCAACTCAAACCCCACTACAATCCAAAGACAAATACAGATGAGAATTATCCTTAACCCCTTCAACACAATAAGACAGAGTTCCATAACAAGTTCAAAGACTTCATCTCAAACATGCCCTTAGCTTTCTTTCGCATATGCAGCCCCAGTTCCAAAGACACATTTACCATGTATAACGTATGAGCATACAGCAACCAAGTTTAAGAATTCCATACAATAATTTCACAAAGAAAGAGACAACGTAAGTCATCACCAAGAAAACTGGACATAAAGACAAATCTCTCGTTATAGATCGGAAGAAATACAAAAAACTTACCAGAAAGTTGTGATAAACAAAGGCTCTAGGTTCCCAGGAGATCACTTCAACCCACTGCTCCCCTTTCTCCTCCTCAATACTAGGTAAACTCAAGCAATCCACACAATTAATTACAGCTAATCCTAATCAGAACGAAAAAATGGAAGCAAAGCCACAAGATCACATACTCGTCGGAAGTTTTGCGCACAATGGAGCTCAGATCATGAGCCTTGGGCGAATCACCGGAATTGCCGGGGATCGAGAGGATTCCGAGGGCAAGAAGAATGAGAATGACGAAGGTAAACATAATTAGCAAGGTAAATATGAGAGTAGAAGAAGACGACGACTTCCGAGCAGGAAAACGAGATTGCCGGTGCTTCGCCATGGATGCAAACCCTTGGGAGGACGGATGAGAGCAAGATCTGAAAATTGAAGAGTTCCTTTGGAGAAGAGTATCGAATTTTTGGTCTTCGTCTTGAAAGTCCAAGCCCGCTGTGCTGGAGAAATTTGGTGGAATAAGTTTGGCTCTGGCTATGGCTGTCCTTGCTCTTGATCGATCTGAGAAGTTTTATTATTTATTATTTTATTTATTTCCCTCAGTCTCCGGCGGCTTTATTTCTTTTTTGATCATTTAAATTTTAAATTAATTTTAATCTTCAAATTGTAAATTCAGTCCTAAAACTTTTAAGTTATATTTATGGGACTTTTTTTTTTAAATAATACTTCATTTTAAACTTGTTTGCAAAATTCTGTCAGAAAGAAAGAAACTTGTTTGCAAAATAACGAAACATATTATAATGTGTTGTTAAAATTTATTAAAAAAATAATACTTTTAAAATTTTTCTGGCGATCTCTTGAGACGACCACACCCTTTTCATCGTTGGTGGTCTCTCCAAGAAAAAATTATGCACTACGTCTAATTATTTAAAAAAAATGATATGATCGTCTCTTGGACGTGTATTTGTGATATCTCTTCGAGAGAAACTCAACATCGTCATTTGATAGCATAATAATAATATATAAAATAAATCAGTTGCAAACTGTATATATAATAAATAATAATATATAAATTTTTTATAATAAATTTATAATCTACTATACAATATTTAAAACTTATAAAAAAAAATTAGTACGGGAGAATTTGAACTTAGTAGAGATTATTAGATGTCGTTTACAATTGAGCTCGTATTAAAAACTTAAATTTATTTGATATAAAATTGATTTTTTTTCCTTAATGCAAAAACATGTGGAGTGATGACATAAATATATGAAGTTAGATATGTTCGTATTGACGCATAAAGTTGAAGTTTTATATATCTATTAAGTGCTTCCTAAAATTTATAGAGTTATTAAACACAATTTTAAAAATTCATGAACCAAATTTATAATTTAACCTAAATTTTTCGTCCCTAAGTTATATACATATTTATATAGTGTGCTCATTTTTCTTTAAAAATTTGTCATTTTATTTATATATATAGGGAGAGTTTTGATTTTGTCAAATTATGTTTATGTGGGGCTGGATCTTGTCTTTTAGTCATATATAGTTTTTAATTAATTTCTAAAAAAAATATAGTTTTTAATTCATTTACGGTGGTTTGAATCTTTTTTTAATTAATAGTAGTTTTATTGTGTACTTAAATAGTAGTAAAAATATATTCAATTAAACAATGCATTGTATTAATTAATACATTATTTTTAAAATTACCAAAACGAGCATGGTTCAATTGAAACATATTTCCGAGAGGCTGTGAGTTCAAACCTCACTCCCATATGTAAAAAAAATACATTATTTGTAAAATTGAAAATCTTCTAATCCAACCCTATAGAATTAATATTACATAGTATATTTTTTCATTCTTCAATTATCTAGAAGTGTATATTCTATTAGATGTGGTGTCATACTCTTTTTTATTTCAATAATATGCAGGGATGAGAATCTGAGCGGACCGTTGACATCCCGTATCATAAATTATTCTTATCCAAATGAATATTTAACATCTGATTTTTTAATTGTCAATTGATTATATATTCTTGACCAAAATATCGAGGTTTGAATTCTCACATTATATATTGTAGAACTAAGAAAACATTTAGTTATCCATTAATAAGTATAAAAAAAATATAGTAATTAATTAATAAATATTAAAATGTAAATTGATAAATGATAATATAATTACTAAAATGTCAAGAGTGATAACTTTTAGGAAATATATTAAAAGTTAACCTAAAAGAATAAAAATGTAATCACTCAGGGTTTATACGTTGAAAATTTGCATGCTGTCTATTCTAATTCACAGGCGATGTCATCAGGGTTTATAAAGGGGTTATTGGAATATTGTTACCAATATAGTCCTATTTAATTATATATTAGTGTATAAATACGATTATTTTATTACTATAGCAAAGGCTAATTATTTGATCTCACTCCTCTAATTATTAAATTAAAAAATAATGAAATTCATTTAATAGTAACACCTCCATGTAATTGATTTAATTACGACATTACTCACATATTTGTTGGGGTTAAGAGAAAATAGGGAGAATGAAAAATAAGATTTCATTGAATTGAATTGGTTAGATACAAACCTAATAATCTATTTATAATAGTATAATTACTAGGAATAAGAAATCTAATTCAAATAATATAATATAAAATAAATATAATTTAAATAAAATATTATCTAACATCCCTCCTCAAACTCACAATACTATTGTGAATTTGTTAAATAAGTCAAACTAATGCTTAAAACAAAATAGAAAATCAAACCAAAATGTCAAAGCTAAAGCTAAACCAAACTAAAAATAATGCGGAAGCTGCAGAATCCCACGTGCCAACAAATAATCATGTTGTAGAAACTGTAACATGCCCAATGAACAACCATGCCAATGCCGATGCTAATACCAATACCAATGCCAATGCCATCAAACAACCATACTAATGCCAATGTCGATACCATGTTAATTTTTAGGGGTTGAGAGAAATCAATGAATTGAATTGCTTGATACTAACCTAATAACCTATTTATAATTACTAGGAATAGGAAAATCTAATTCAAATAATATAATCCAATAATTACTAGGAGTAGGAAATCTATTTCAAATAATATAATTCAAACTAAATCTAATTCAAATAATATCTAATTTAAATAATATAATATAAGCTAAACTAAATCTAATTCAAATATAATATTATCTAATAATATTTTGTGTTTAGTTGTATTCTTTTGCAAAATATTTTTGCAATAAATATTTGAGTTTAATTACTTAATTGTCACACTTTTCAAATCTAAATATTAAGCCATTGCAAATGGTAAAAGAGTCTGGTAGAAAGATTACTTTTATATCTTAATCAAAATTTTAAATTTCATTTTTCGATCCAAGGTATATACCAATTAATTTTATATCTTAATCAAACTTTTAAATTTCATTTTTCCTTTTCAAAGCTCTCCAAGAAAAGGAAAAAAGGTGAAGCATAAGACATTTCCAACCTACCAAAACTTTCTAAAATAAGTGACATTTTAAATGCATTATAAGATAAGTATTCACTTTTTTTGCCATTTTTTTAAATATTTTTTAATCACTCCCCATGGACGTCGTCCACTGCAAAATTAGTAGATAACGAGTGTAAATTAGTAATTTGGTCATCGGTATTAGTTTCCAGCTAATAAAGTTGAATTGGAATATTATGTTGTTATTATTAAAGGTAAAATAAGAAGTTTGCCTTTGCAAAATAATAATAATAAGTTGGATTGGAATATTCGATAATTCGNGCATCTTTTAGATATCCAACAAATTTGATATTTATAATAATATATTAATAGCTTAGTTTGTAAATTAGTAAAATATATATAGATTTTTAAAAAAGAAAAAGAAAAGAAAAAGATTTAAGATATCAATATCAAATGTAAAAATCTCAAAGACATTCCAATATTTCTCAACAGGTTAAAAAACGTGTAATCTTATTATTAGTATCCTGGAAGGAGAGAATGTATATATAATTGGAAAACAAAAAGCAAAAAGGAGATATGGAAATAATAAAAATATGGAAAAGACAAAATAAAAAGATATTAAGAACAAAATTGATTAAAAGATTTATACGGAATCTAGTTGGGATTGGAGAACTCTTATTCTTTTCCTTTTCTTCTTCTTTTCGAGTTAGATAAATAGAAGAGGATGGAAACCCTAATGAGTGGGCAGCCATGGTTTCTTTGGATTCGTGTCGTCGGTTTTCTTGGATTCAATTAGTCGGCATCCGCGGCAACCGTTTGAAGAAGAGGAAAAGCGAGACGAGGAATTGGAAGAGGAAAATCAAGACGAGGAAGATATTGGAGGAGCTTTTTCCACTTACAGTTCCCCTTCCGGTTCCATCTGATGCGAATAAGATAAATTGGGATGAGCTTTCACTTCCTCCACTTCCGCCTGATGTGATTCAGCTAATATTCTCCAAACTTCCCTTCTTCAATTTGCCCGGTTGCCGGCTCGTGTGTAAAGCATGGAACAATTTTATTTTAACTTGTAAGTTACATTCTTCGATCTCAACTTCAAACCTCTTTTATGCCCATATTTCTCCGTTTAACAAGCTCTGTTGTGTGGATTTGGATCCTAAACATTTGGGAGTGGTCAGCAGCCTTGGCTCATTTAGCTTCCATCCTGATTTGTTTTCCACTCATTTTATCTCGATCATCAATTCCTGCAATGGACTCCTCTGTTGTTCTTTTAAGCCTAAACGGACATGGGGATCTAGACCTGTTATTTGTATATTAAATCCCATGACAAATGAGTACCTCATCATTCCCATCTCCGGTAGGGATATAGATTATCGTTACGGATTAGGATTTAGTCCTAAAACAAAGCAGTACAAATTAGTTAGAAATTCCGAAGTGCCTGATAAATCCAATTCCAAATTCTCTACTTTGGTAGAGATTCTTGCATTTGGCACAAGTTCAAGTCCCGAATGGTCCCTGTTGGCTTTGTGCCTTTTGAAGTTGATGATCATTGCGGTTACTTCAATGGAGGCCTCTATTGGGTTGCAGATGATGGAACGAATGGCATGTACCGTTTGGATATAGAAGATGAGAAAGTTGAGGAAATTTATTTTCCCAAACCTGATGGTCATTCTTATTTCTTTGGAGTCCTCGACGGTACCCTGTATTTAACTTTTTGCATCGCCATCGAATTCGAGTAGCAGGTATGGAAGATGGAAGAAGATTGTTCTTGGACCAGACCATTTGTTATTTTCATACCACGATTTTCGTTATCCTCGCCATACTGATCATATTTATGACCATTTTGATGATGATGATATACTCCCATTTCACCTCCAACTCATCAAAGTTTGCGAGGATGGGAAGATTTTGTGTTTGGTTGCTGGATTTGATTTTATCTTGTATGACCCGAACACTGAGAGCATAGAGATATTGACGGATCAACGTGTTAAAAGGCGGCAATATTTATCTGTTCATCAGATTGAGTCTCTCAATTTTGGTTCGGTCCCCAACATCTTAGCAGGTGCAGGGATGCTAAAGTCTGAACTGAAGGCCGACTGGTTTATGTATGTTTCAAGACTCTAAATTAGATATTTATTTTGTTTTTTGGTTCATTATAATTTATTTATAATCAATATTTATTTTGTTTTTGGTTCATGGTAATTTAGAACACTTTGTTGTCTTAGGGGTTCACTTTTTAATTTATTCATGATTACTCCACTGTAAATAGTCTGAAGTTCATTTACATTCATAAAGTTTGGATTATGATTTTATTTAGTTTTTATCCACGATACCATGAACATATGTCCATTACATAAATGTTCAATAATATTTATCTATTAGTTGTAGAAGCAGGCTTAATTTTTTCTAAAAGTAAGTTTATTGTTTTTAATTTTGATTCTAATTTCCATTCGACTAGGGATGTAAAAAAAGAAATCCCGGGCGGGTACCCGGCCCAACAGCCATGTTTATGCCATCCTACGTTGAAATTTTGATTTATATCCAAAAATGGTTGCTTTTTTTTTAATTTTAAATATTTGTTATAAAAATGATAGATCAGGGTTCATTTACCAGGTAAATATATTAAATACAATAAATAAATTAATGCAAAATTTATATCTACCAGTAAAACAAAACTTCTATCTTGAGGGGCTATCATTGGAGATACTATTACTAGAAGTCCCTATAAAAATGGGAAATGCCACTTTTGAGACTATATATGACACCAATTAACCAATAAATTAAGAATGCTCAAGAATATCCAATTAACAACCAATAAATCAAGAATGCTCAAGATCTAATACGAAATCACAATGAAAAGGAAAGATTAAAAGCTAAGATATTATGCATAGCTTCACTGCTTTCTTTCCGTTCCACCTCGAGGACCCCTGTGGTGCAATTTCACAAGTTGCCTATGAACAGATTCATGAATCCATTTTTTTGGCCTGTTTTGAACTTGCAATAGCCAAATTAGTTTTAACGCGATCTAGAAAGAAGATAAAAGTCGATCAACATAAGCATCATTATGATTAATAATTATTCGATTTCACGACATTTTAGTCGGAGATATGTGTTTTGACCATTAAAACTATGTTTGTAAGCTTAATTTACATATATTTCATGAATTGAAATAGTTGTGCGTTATTAATAATATTATTTGAATATCTAATTCTCTATTGTAGATTTGTAATAATCCTACCAACAAAAGGTTTTAAGTAAAATCCTTTGAGGAAAAATATTTGAAATGATTGTTTTATCTTAGCTATGATTACTAGGCCCGTTCTAATTACCAGTCCCATTTAAGTGTGAGCCGAAATGAGCAAGTCCATTAAATACTATTCCATCCCAACATTAAAATTAATTTAAAGTCCACGAAAATAAGATTATAAATATGTCATTTTTATTTTTATTTTTATTTAATACAACTACACGTAGGATGAAGATTTAAATTCACAACTTTTACTCATAGACAGATAAATGGCTGAATTTGAGGAAGAGCACCATCTTAACATAGCTTCAATCCTCAATTTCTCAAGCTTGATGGGTGAAGCCGTTTCATTTTTTCTCCTCCTCTTCAGTTTGTTCCTACGGAAATTATAAATAATGTTTTTTTTAATTCAACTAATAAATGGACTTTAATTATATATAAAAAAATCAACTATTAAATGGATTTATTTATAACAACTCTAGATGAGATTGATGGCTGAAAAGAGCACAAAAGAGGGTACAAATAAGAGAGTTTTCTTTTTAAGAGGGTTGAAAAAAAGAAGAAGGTGATGGGTTGTTGAATAGAAGAGAGAGATTGTGGATAAAGGTTAAACAACAAAAGAAAACTGAACTTTTTTATTTTGGTTAAATTTACAAATCTATAAATGTTTTAAGAAATTTGTCAAAAGTTGAAATACAGACGGTGGTTTTTTAATCCTCAAATTCCACATACAAGTAAGTAAGTAATTAATTAATTAATTAATTAATCACAGAGAAAATGAGGCGTAAAAAAGGTAGTCGGAGCTACCGTATAAATTTTGCAGTAATTAATTGATTGTATTTAATAATATCAATCACCACTATTGAGATGAAATTTGTAAGTTTATTTTAGTGTAAGCATTTAATTGTAGGGTATAAATTAAAAAATTATTAGTAATTTAGTATAAGAATTATAAGCTCAAGTTTTATTTTTGAAAAATTATAAGCTCAAGTTGATTTGGTTAAGTGTGTGTCTTACATGCATTTAAATTACATTTATTTTTGTTTCCACCCAAATATGTTTCATAAATGAACCCTAATCTATACCAATTAAATAGAGGCTCAGATTTTAACCCTAGTTGCAAAGTAAATAAACCGTGGTTAAAAGTTAGACAATTGCGGAGCTAGCCGCAAACATCCAAAATTGTGAAGGAGAATTAGAAAACAGCATCATCTTATCTCAAATCCCTATTCTGAAGCCATGCATAGTTTTTCCTCCTCGATCAGTTTGTTGCTTCAGAAACTATACATTACACCAATTAACCAACAAATCAAGAATGCTCAAGATCCAATTAACCAATAACTCAAGAATGCTCAAGAATATCCAATTAACCAATAAATCAAGAATGCTCAAGATCCAATTAACCAATAATTCAAGAATGATCAAGATCCAATACGAAATCAGAAAGAAAAAAAATAATCACACAATGACGGGAGATGAAAAGGAAAGATTAAAAGATATTATCCACCACGGACTTACTTGGAGAGCATTCCAATCTTCAAGGCAATGAAGCTATGCACAGTGCATGCATAGCTTTACTGCTTTCTTGGCTTGGTTTCTTTCATTCCACGTTCCACCTCGAGTCGCGTTTAGTATCCCCAATTCGTCGGCAAGTGATGGAACTGGAGATTTTTTCTACTCCTCAATTCTAGCGTATTCCTTATGCGCAGTCCATAGCACCGAAGATGACGGCCATATTTATTCACCCCAGCCCAACAAATTTGTTGGACCGGTTCCTCAAGAATGACCTGACGACCTTTGTGGTGCAATTTCACAAGAAGAACTTCTACCTATGTTGCCTATGAACTGATTCATGAATCCATTTTTTTGGCCTGTTTTGAATTTGCAATAGCCAAATTAGTTTTAACGCCAATTACTTTAACTCTAGAAGAAAATAAAAGTCGTTCAACATAAGCATCATTATGATTAATAATTATTCGATTTCACGACATTTCAGTCGGAGATATGTGTTTTAACCATTAAAACTATGTTCGTAAGCTTAATTTACATATACTTCATGAATTTAAGAAGTTCTATAATATACTAAAAAGAAAGACATATATTTACACGATAAACATTTGAATAGTTGTGCGTTATTAATAATATTATTTGAATCTCTAATTCTCTATTGTAGATTTGTAATGATCATAACAACAAAAGGTTTTAAGTAAAATCATTGGAGGAAAAATGTTTAAAATGATTGTTTTATGCTTAGTTCTAATTATCAGGCTGTTCTAATAACTAGTCCCATTGGAGCGTGAGCCGAAATGAGCAAGCCCATCATTTGCAGGCTAACTACTGTTTCAGCCCAACATTAAAATTAATTTAAAACCCACGAAAATAAGATCATAGATATATCATTTTTACCTTTACTTTTATTTAATACAACTACACGTTGGGTGAGGATTTAAATTCACACATTTTTAGTCGGTAAAGTGCTGAGGAACACCACTATCTTACCTTCAATAGCATATCCCTATTATGAAGCTATGCAGTGTACATAGCTTTAATCCTCAATTTGTCAGGCTTGATGGGGTGAAGCCGCTCCACCCATCTCCTGGACTAAATTTTTCCTCCTCTTCAGTTAAATTATACTTTTGAATTATAGAAGTATAATGAAATATACCATCGACTAACATTTCCAAAATTGAAAAAGGATAAGAAATGATTTGATCCTCTTAGCTATTGTGCTAAATATCTAAAGGTGAACCAAATATCTACTTAGATGAAACAAATAGGAGGAAAGGTAAAGAACGGTAATTGTTGAAACTAACCTATTGAAAGATCAATCAACTAAAATAATCATAATTAGCAGCTACATTATTATCAATTTTTTATGTTGCCTGAATTTGTACCTTCATTAACATATTTTCTATAATCAAACTATAATTTATCGAAGGACCATACATAACACTGAATAGGAAGTCGATAAATTTTTATAATCATAAATTTTAATGTAGAGTTCACTTTTTTCTCCCCACGTTCTATTAAAAAACACATGTATCATGGAGAAATCTATATGGTGCCAATATTTTGTTGACATCCTTTTTTATTTAATAATATTTTATTCTTCTTTATTTTCTCTCTTCAAGTAAATAGTAAAGAAAAACACAACCAAATGAAATTTGTATATTCCTGTTTGATGTATTTTCGCTCTCGTCTTTGTTTTTATTAAAGAGCATATAAATTGTCTAATTACATATTCGTAGATAAATAAAGTATTTATATTAAAAAAACAATAGATAAATATTTGTATTATGTAAAAATAAATGTTAGATAATAATAGAATTTGTATAAATAATATATTCTAACTTATTTTATTTATAGTACAATAACAAGTTGAAACACACTACATATGTTTATTTTTATTTTTACAATACTTTTTTTAATGTATTTTTACAATGTTTATTTCTCGTCAAAAAGCAACATTTATATTCGTTTCAAAATTATGAATTTATAAACCATAACTTTAACACGTCTAGTAACATTAAAGTCTATAGGTCTTAAATGGCAAAATAATAATAAAAAAAGAGATAACTATTATTTAGAGCAAAAATACTGCCAACATGATCGAGCTAAGCTATATTCAGACCGGTTATTTAACCAAAGTTTGTTTCACGTGAAATGCATGGGTTGTACAGGGAAATTTTTGTCCCTACATAATCAATCTCTGATCTGAAAAGGATAGAAGCTGGACTACTGCTGGAGTTTATATCATATAATAATTAAATAAATACATCAATAATCATATAATAAGAGATTCGATTCCCTAGAATAATACAAACCAGCAACAACTTGAAGATCATGGGCCACGTCATTCAAATATTCATCCAATGTTTAAGTTAATAAAAAAAATTAATTATCTAAGCTTTATCGCTTAAAAGGATTAATTACTTTTTTAAGTGTAAATATTTTTTTGAAAAAAGTTAAATATTTTATTTATTAAGGATAAAGTTAAATATTCTATATGATAGTACATTTAAAGTTGTTTACTATTTTATAACTTTTTCAACCTAGTTTCCTTTTATCGAAAAAAAATAACTTGGACGTGATATTTTTTATTTTAAAAAAAAGTCCAGTACTTATTTTCTTATAATTAAAGTATGTTTAGGTTGGAAAAAAAATAAATGTAATTTAAATGTAGGTCAAACACACATTTAAATTGACAAACTTGAACATATAATTATTCAGTTAAATTATTAATAACTTTTGAATTTATACCCTCTTACACTAAAATAAATTTACAAATTTCATCTTAACAATGAATTAATGCAAAATTTATACTTACAATATACTTCGAACTACAATTTTTATAGTTTATTTTTTCTATACTTAAATTTTCTATTTCTTTTAGTACAATATGTGAGATTTGTTTTTTTTTAATATCTTTTTAGGACAAATACCAATTATTGAATTAACTCAGATTAGTCAAAGCACCAGTTTTTGGTCTCAAAATATTTTGAACTTTGTCAAATTTATTAGAACATATTTTTTTTTTGAAAAGAAAATTTATTAAAACATTTATAGATTTGGAAATTAACTCAATCAAACATATTAAATCAAAACTTTTAAAACTAGTATAGAGATGTATGAACACAATAAAAAGAAGGTTTCACTGGAAACATGAGCGATCTTCCCATGAACAGATCCCTTTCTTCCTTGTGAAACATTGTTTCTTGGGAAGAAACCTTCTTGTTTTGGGTGAGAATGTTCGAGCTGTAAACAGCAGGCCTTTTAAATAAAAGCTCACCAGCTGCTGAAAGTGACCATTTTTGGATCTAAAGATCCGCTAAGCTCAGTGCCCCGCATTGGGGATGCCTTCAAAAGCAAACAATTGAGAAAGGCCATCTTGTCG